AAACTCCAATCCTACATAATACAATGCTCAACGCCAACCCAGTCAATGATACACCGCTCAACCAACCCAGCCCTTGCTTGCCTGCTCAAGCCTTGGACCTGGTCCTTCCCAGCGACACACCCAGCGGCGACTGCTTCCACTGCTTGGTAACGGGGTCAAGGCACTCCTCCTCAGCCGCCTTCCACTCATCCGTGATGATCTTGGCCCTGTGCTCATCCCTGGGCGTGATCGACGCGGGGAACTGCTCCGGCATGCAGACGAATCCCTGCGTGAGCTTCTCCTGATCAGGGATGATGTCCTTTCCGTTGGCGTCCTTGGCCGGCTTGATGTCGAAGCCCCAGATCATGCGGGAAACACCGAGGAACAAGGAGCGCTCAGCAACGTGAATGCCAGGGCAAATACGGCGGCCGGCGCCGAAAGTGAACTGGTCACGCTTGGAGGCATCAGGGCTGGCAGCGGCGTCACCGAGGGACTGGAAGTCATCCTTGTAGCGATCGGGCTCGAAGCGGCGGGGATCGGGGTGGCGCTTGGGGTCCATGTGGATAGCCCAGACGTTGTTGACAACGCCGGCGTTCTTGGGGATGAGGTAGCCGTTGTAGTAGTCGTCCTGGTTGACAGCGTGGGGGACAGCGCCCATGATGGTCGTGGGCATCCAGCGGAGAGATTCCTTGACGATGGAGCGGATGTACTGCAGGTTGGGTTCGTCTTCCATAGTGGGCAGGCGATCCTTGCCGACGACGCGGTCGATCTCCTCCTGCGCCTTGCGCTGAACCTCGGGGTAAAGAAGCATGGCCTGGACGAAAGCGTAGAGAGTGCTAGAGGTGGTGTCGGATCCAGCCTCGAGGAGCGTACCAGTGATGTACGAAGCCTGGGCATCATCGAAACCCTCGGTCTTTTGGGCCTGCACAAGCTCCTCGCTGAAGCAGCGGGTGATGGTACCATTGAGAGTGTCTTCCTTGGCCTTGAGCCAGTGGCCGAGGTAGAGGGCCTTCTCCTTCTTGTGCATCTCGCGGGCCTTCTTCTGGACAGGGATCATGAACTCGGGGAGGTATCGCATCCACGGGAAGAAGTCGACAAGGGCGGCGATGCCAGTCTGGTTGAGGTCGGCAAACTCGCTAAATCCGTCAAAGAGCTGCTTCATCTTCTCGTCCTCGTAGGTCGGGGTGCGCCAGCCGAAAACCATGGTGGTGGTGAGGGCGTTGGAGTAGCGCCGGATGTTGTGGAGGAAGCTCTCCGGCTTGGTGAGCATCTCGTACAACATCTGCTTGTTCTCGAGGATTTGGTAGGGGACGTATGACTTGGCGGCTGAAATATTGAGGAGAGTGTGCACAAGCTTGCGGCACATGCGCCACCTCGGGGTGTATCCCATCATGAGAATGCGAAGATCTCCAGAGCAAAGTGTCTGTCCGACGTACATCTCCTGGCGATGCGAGTACATGTTGCTCTTCTTGTCAAGAAGTTCCTTGACGGCCTGGTCGCTGGACAGTACCACCATGACCTTGGTTCCCAGAATGAGACTGTAGACGGGGCCATACTCGCGAGCCCATTTCTCGAATTGGAGATGGGCATCTCGTGTGGGCATCTGCATCCATTGTAAGTAACTGCTTCACAGCAAGAAAGTGTTGTCACAAACCTGATGGAGGTTGCCAATGATAGGGAGTGTGGGCGGGCCGGGAGGGAAATTCTTTGGCCTCCGGCCCGTCATCAAGAGCCGGATGAGGATAGCAACTCCCACCACATAGGGCAGGTAGTTGAGAAGGGCGGCCATTTGGCACCACGCACCGACTGCAACGGCTGGAAAAGGTCCAAGGGGCTGGTAGGGGTGTAAAACGAGAATGGGCTGATGTTGGCTGATGTTCTGTTTGGACGGCAGGAGGGAGGGCGGCGGGAATAAAGTAGGAAAAAAGTATCGACACTGGTTTGCTGCGGCCCCCCTGTCCTCCCGATACCCTCGGCTGTGGTTTGGAAACCAATTCCCGTATCGGGGCCGATGTGGGATGCAATGCCCGATCAGGAACCGGACGCGGGGGAGGGATGCTGGCACGCGGGGAGGTCTTGGCACGGAGTCGATGTGGGAAGCGGGGCCAGGCCAGGAAGATTGTGGGGGATTCGGCAAACCAGACGAGTCAAATTTCTCATCAGCCCGGGGCTCCCAGAGAAATCGAGCGGGCTCGTGATCTTTTCCGTGGCCCCGTGTCCAACTTGCGTTTGGTTCCAATTGGTTTCCGTGTAGGTTGTCCTTGCCAGGTGCGCGCATCCCAATGCCGGAGGTTGGGGTTGTCCCCGGCCCCACCCCGGAGGCTCAATAGGCTCGACCCAAAGCCATGACTTTGACGGCTTAGCGCCCCTGGACTCTCTCACTCGACCTGGAACCTCTGAAAATCGGCAATAAGGTCGTTGACCTGGCGCATACTCGTCTGATCGTACTTCTCCAGGATGGGGTCAGCAGACTTCACCTGCACTCCATCCCCCGCAACTCCAGGGTTTTGCAAGGATGCCCGGCTGGCATCGGACAGGCCCAAAGCGTGGCTTTGAGATTTGGTGGGTGTGGCCGAGATGCGGTCTGTCAGCAATAACCCCAGGAGCCAGTACTCCGGGGCGAAGCGGACAAAACCCATCCTCTTCCACATTGTCTCGAGAGGGAGAGCTGCGTCCTGAGGATATGACGATGACCATGTGTCAAAGTAATGTTCCCAGATATTGATCCAGTTCCGCAGGCCGTTACGAATGGGGACAAGCTGACCGACTACTCCCAGCGAGTTTTGGTGTTGAAATATCAAATAATGGAACGCTTCAGACAATCAGCATGAGTGTATGACGTGGCAGAGGGATGCATACCTGACACCACGGTGAAGAGGTTGAGCGCCCCGAGCTGGGAGAATTTTTGTTGAGTATCCACTGGTAGCGTTTCAGCGCAAAAGCTTTCGATGGCATCCCGGAGGAGGATGCTGCAGAACAGGCTTGATCGTGGCATCCGAACACGGATTTGCTGGAAGCATTCCTCGGCTGTAACAGCCTGGAAACATGCCTCAGGGCTGGCCATGTGCATTTTCATCTCCTTAAAAACCATCCTATGAGGAAGATTGTTGAAGATGACGAAGGCGGTGTCGAGCAAGAATATCCAGATGAATGTCCTAGCCATGTCAGCGCACTATTCAAAAACCTCGAACCTCGAACTTTACCTAATGAGCTCCTCTCTGATGACATATTCGTTCCAGCGAAATTCGTACTCTCTACTGTAATCGAGATGCCGAGCACTGTCGATGCCCATATCCCTAGCAACCTTCCTCGTGTCAGTTGCTTAGATGAAGTGTCATACGAACGAGCGACTTACCGAGACGACAGTGCTGAACCGGTGGCGGCGAATTCGCCGTTTACTTGCGTCTGTTCCTTCCCAGTTCTGGTAGAGACACACAACGTAGGCGGCCTGCAGAGCTTGAAGTTTTTGTTTCATCGGTAGCATCGTGACAGGGGGTTCCGCCTCGTCGTCTGACGACTCTACGTCGCTGCAGAAATCTGCGTCCGTGAAAACAACTTCCTCCACGCAGTTGAGCCACAGCCTCGCATCTTGGTTGTCTTGAAGATCTGGCGAGACACAAGCCCCTGGGTACGTCAGCACGGCCAACCAATAGCTTCCAATGTTCGCAGTTGCTTACCGAGCAAGGCCATAGAAGCCAAGAGGATGGACTTTGACGCGGCTTGGTCAAATGTCGGCCTGTGTATGATGCTCACATTTGGATGCCACACGGACCAATAGAGCTCCATGAATTTGGAGAACTTGTACGGCGAGAAGAATTCAATGCATTTCTGCTCCAACGCCGGCGTCCAAGACAAATCCACGACGGCATTGTTTGGTCTGAAAGTTACCGCCCGCTTGATTAACAGAACAATGTCCTCAAGCTTGGCCACAATCGGGTTGTTCAGCCACAAGGCCCCAGGCAGCATTCCCTGAGATATGTCGCCGTGAACATCGACATATGGTGCTGAAAGAGCGTCGTCTCCAACATGCGAGTCGAACTGCAGGCGTGGTGTAATAAATGGTTCTAGGTTGTTGATGTATGCGTTGTCAAAAGCCGCCACAATTTGTTGTCGCCTCTCGAGGGTCGCGCATTCGAAAGAGGACACTAGTCCTGTTCGGCTGGTGAAGTCGTAGAGGAATCCGAAGGAGTAGCCTCGATATTTCGGAACTGGCGGCAATTCCGTGTCTTCTGGTGGCTGGGTGAAGGTATTATTCTCGTGATTGTAGTCAACGTCAAACCACACCCCGTCAGGATTCTGGTTGTCGAGGCCGGGGAAGTGTTGGGCGGACTCGGCGGTTGGAGACCCTAGACCGTCCACTGGCAGGTCAACACCCCTGAAGTCGAAGCGCGGGGTCAGCCCACCGCTGATGCTTGGGTCGTCCCCCAGTTTTGGGAGTGGGTCCCATGGCTGCGTCGATGACGATGAAGCTGCTGCTGCCGCAGACGACGCGATCAAATACTCGCACCGCACAGCGCGCTTCTCGCAATTTTGGCACGGCTGGAGGGAGTTGCAGGCCTTCTTCTGGCGTACGCAGCGGTCACAGGCGCGACGGCGGTTGGAGGAGATGGTCGATGTCCCGTCGCAGGTTTGCAGGTGACGCTTCAGCACGTCGGTTCGCTGGAAAGACGCGTTGCAGACGATGCAGCGATGCGGGCGCTCCGAGGTGTGCGAGCTGCGATGCCGCTGAAGATGCTCCCGTCTCTTGTAGCCCTTGAAGCAGACCGGACAGCGATGAAGTCCCTCGGCGTCGGGCATTGCGGAGTCTAATGTTTGGCGTGAGAAAGCGGTGATTCCGTCCGCCGTACGCCTGGCTTTGGGAAGATTTTCCCGCCACTGCAAAATGCGGGGTGCGGGGCAACCCCCGATGCGCTGCAGGCCGATCTCCACACTGTGCGTTGCATCAGGGGCCAATCAAGCCACACCACCAGATCTCGACCTTGATGGAGATCGCAAGGTCAAGCGAGCAAAAAGTAATTTCCTGCCTCCTGCCTGGATCGAACAAGCGACCTCGTCATGGTACGGTTTCTCCTTAGAAGAGAGGACAATACGAGTGACGCGCTCTACCACTGAGCTAAGAAGGGGGGATGATTCGTGGTCTGGCATATCTGGTTGATGGCGCGCCTGCCCAGCGAGGTTTGACCCGGCACTCTTGAAGTGCTTGCTTGTGTGGCCAAAGGGAGCAGGCTGCTTTGGGAATGCACAAGAGACAAAGACAAAGGCTCAAACATCGGCGCCAAATCTTGGACGGGGTCACGTTTGGGAGTGAAGACGACTGCTACAAGCGCGGCTGCCAAATCGCATCTGCTGCTTCGCCGCAGCGTCGGGCAACAATCAACGCTAGCCTAAAGAGGGTGACCACACTGTCCTCTTATCGGTTATCATTATCGCTTATCGCATTCTTGCCGTGGTTCCTGCGCCATCTGTTAGCGCACTATCACTAATAAATAATTCCATCCTCCGATCTCGAATCCCCAACAGATTCGGAGATCATTTCACACATATTTTACCTTGGCGGGACCTCGCTCCCTTCCCAGAGTTTACGAAGTCACCATCTTCGCTGTCATATCCTCTTGCTCCACTTAACTTCCCCGACTCCTCGACCAGCCCAACACCATGGCCGACCCAGGCTCGACCCCGCAGCCCTGGGGCGGGTTGCCGCTCGAGGTGGTATACCACATTGTCGAGATGGCTCATACGCCAGCGATCTCACCAAATCCTGTTGGATCGCCCACCCAGAAAACGAATTGAGAGAGCTTGGCACTGCTGTCCCAGCTTTGCCTGGTGTCGAAGAAGTTTGCCAGTTGACACAGCCGCTGCTCTACGAGGAGTGTGTCTTTAGCTACAGTTTCCCTCAAGAAGTAGCTGAGAATGAAGAGGATCCGAGGCACTTGGAGGGCCAGCGTTTGCAGGGCTTCATCAACACGATCATCGCGCAGCCGACACTGGCAGCCCACGTCAAGAAGGCTTATGTTTGTACGTGAACCATCTTGTAGTGTTGGACTGAAGGCTAACAATGATAAGGCCCGCAGATGTTGGCACGCCTAGATACGTACATGATCGATAAAATGGTTGGGAAGATACTGCGTGCCTTGCGCGCTGCCAACCTTGCTGTCCAAACCGGGCCCAGGCCGCTTGATGACTCGCACCAGATGCTTCAAAGTCGTTTTAGTTTCCGCGAAGGAGAACTGGAAAGTTACCTGCCATGTGGCCTGTTTGGTTTAATGCCAAATCTCGAACACTTGGTATACCGTATTCCGCCCGCCAGTGGAATCTTCTGCGTCCGTCCCTTCACCCCCCTGGCTCACGATGCTTGGCGCTTGCCCAATCTCCGCCACATTGAGTTTGTGGGGTTTGGACTGGGCCCTCAAGCTCCAGAGTCAATGATCGAGATGTCTTCATGGTTCCCACACCGCTTCCCTGGCCCTTCCAGCCAACCCCAGATCCTGACCATCCGCGGTACCGCCGGGTTTGGAAAATCCGAACAATCATGTGAAACATTGTTCAGGGAAGGACATACGTCGTGGCCAGCAAGTTATCCTCTTGCGGGAATCGTGGACCTCCGAATCATCAACGGCGAGACGACAGGCACTCCGAAGCTGATCGAATTTTCCAGCCCTCAGCGGCTTCACATCGTCTCCCAGGACCGAGAGCCGTATAAAGTCTGCCGACACAGGGAAAGAACCCTCCGCGATTCTCGCATTGTCAAAGTCTCCATCCCTTTGACCAGCAGTCTGACTCTCCGCCACCTGCATACCGACATCCGAGGTGCTCCCACAAGCTTCCATCAAGAACTGGGCCACTCTCTGCGCGCCTTCGCCTCCATTGAGACACTCATCATACCCTTCTCGATGCTTGTCTCTTGCACAACCGAAGAGCTCGAGGGTACGTTAGAGGTCGAGGGAAAGGAGACAGACGACAGCCCTTATGGAAGTATTACCCAACGTCTCCCGCACAGCCTCCAGGAGCTGAAGGTTGTGGGGGTGCCGTTGGTAGCGATGCTGGGCAATGATACTTGGAAGGGTCTTTGTAGCGACGTCGAAGCAGGGTTGATGCCGAAGCTACGCCGTATTCGTTGCGAAAGGTCAGGGCATTACAGCAGGGAAGCATTGCGTCAGATGTTCCGTCCCTTGGGTGTGGACTTTGACTTCCTCAGCCCGCATGACCCCTGGACATTGCACGCTGAAAGCTTCCTGGCCTTGTTTGCTTCTCTTCAGGACTCAGGGGAAGGGACCGGCATATGGCTCAGGTGGTTAATGGGGTATGGAGCGCCGGAAACGGCGTCATGGTTGATCTGCGTGATCGCGATGGTTTGCCTTCGGAAGCAGGCGTCTTTTGGGTGTGACAGCGGTCTTTTGTGGCTGGGGGAATGCATGCATCATGATGGAGGGCATGCAGAAGGGCTTCATGATAGGGAATAGGCATGATTTGAGAGAATGGAAGCATCTCACTATGAGGAAAAGGCGTAGAAACACGGAATCAAGAGCACTTTCTGAGAGGCAAAAGGGATAATTTGCCCGTTTGGTCCTTCGGGGCAAGGGCGGTGGGCTTGGCAAGGACTTTTCTGAAAGGGCAGGGGGTTCGAGTGGGGCCACTTGGTGTGTGGAGCGGTCAACAGATCCCCTTCTTTCACTGCGTGTTTGTTTGCCCTGACTGCATCCGAGCATTATATCAATGCAGCTTTATCGAGGCTAAGACTCATGAAATGGTATGTGAGTCATGATTTTCGCGCGGAACAACGTTGTAAGCGTGAGACATTTGTCGGTGCTGCGTTTGGTGCTTGTGGAGTGGAGACCCCGTGATCAACATCAGGAAACTGCGGTGCGGCAACAAGTGCCTAGTGCCTTCACACGAGAAAACATGTTACCCTTTGGATGCAAATGCTGCACCAGTGGCTCTCAGCTGGAATCGCAGTTAGGCTTACATCGTGGGACATTTAAGTGAGGGCGCTGCTGCAGCTGATGAAGGGTGCCTGTGCACGGATCCATTCGCCCGTTTGTCCATCCTCGCTTGTAATAATTCTTCTGGATCCTACTTGAAGCGCTCCAGGCAGCCTGCCAGATCTGAATTCCCTTGGTCTCCAACCCCGGATCTCGGGCCCCATCACACCCAAGCAAAACCTATCACATTTTACTAGTTTTCTCGTTGCTGCTCCGAAATTCTTGACCATTGATGGCCGGCGGCTGCGGAGTCCCAATCCCCAACAAGTGAATGGGAAGTTGGAGGCAGGTTCGCAGCCTTGTCCAAGGACCCACCCGCACCGACCGTCCCACGCAAACTCTATCTTATCACCCAAGCGCCTGCCGCTGTATCCCCTCACCTCAATTTCCAACGTCAGGGCAGACTACACATCCTCTGACTTCGGCTAGCGAGGAAGAATGTGATGGTTGGCCTCAAAGAAAACAAACGCCCCTTGGGCAGTGGCAGCCAGGCCCTGCGGCCGGGAAAGAAAGGTCAGTGCATGTTGTCACCGTGATGTCGTGAGGCCACCTTTGCTGAAATCAACGACAGCACCCAACTCTGGGACGCGCTTTCAAGCGGCGCTCATGCGCATATTCCCAGATGGCATACCACGTCGATCGACACCACGCTCAATCCAGGTCACAGAGGTCGACGAGGTGTTTGACTCGGACGATCTCCTCGAGGAAGAGTGCAGGCCTGTTCCCGACCGCAATGCCCCGCAAAGAGGCCCGGGCGCCCTGGAGGTCGTGACCAATGTCGATGTCAGCTTCACCGATGAGACACCCTTTGTCGACGAGGCGACGGTTGTTGAGGAAGTCGCCTTCCTAAAACAAGAGGCACCAGTTGCAATCGAGACAGTAGCGCCATTGGCGCCCGAGGGAATCGAGGCGCACACATCTGGAGATGCGGAGCCCAGCCTCACCACCACCATCAATATCCTGGACGCCGGCGAGCAACCTCACACGTCCCCAGACACAGAGAAAATGGTTGTTGAGGAAATAATACCTACCATCGAGCATGGTTTTCCGTTGATGGAAACGACACTCGAAAACACGAGAGCTGCCTCCGAAGGCGCAAAAAGAGCATCGTTCTCGCCCACGGCCCCTGCACAAGAGGGATCCAGGGGCTCATCGGCACAACTCCTGTCGCGGCGCTCACCCCGACCAAGGAGACGGATCATCCAAACACTCAAGGCTCGAGAGGGATTCGGAAAGCGCATCGGCATAGCTGCACGGCCGCAGCTCCATTTCCAGACAGACACAGCCGCTGTTCAGGACATGCCCCCTGTGGTGAAGGCCTCCCCTACACCGACCGCATCCTCCGGGTTGAACGTAATCCCTACGCGGTCGGCTCTCTCTGTGTCGAATACATCTCCTTCACCGATCGCTTCCTCCCTGTCAAGCGGGTCACCCTTATCGTCAGCTCCCCCGTCGCCGAGCACACCCCCTTTCCTGAGCGCGCCCCCGTCCCAAGCCGGGACACGCGACAACGACATGGAGCCGGAGTCCCCAACTGAAGACTGCATCGTCGTGAAGCCGCTGGCCTATACCCTGTTCTTCGGTAGCGTAGGCCAACAAGTCTCGTCTGTCGAGTCCAAGCGCCGCGGCCCCAGCGCAGCGGAGGCTGCCTTCGTTGGCTCCCAGGAGGAAAAAGAGCAACTCATCACGCTGTACCTCGAGAAGGGGGGCTCAATGAAGCATGTCAGGAGGCGGCTCCGGTTCAGCCGCACCCGAGGCAGAGAAGACACGCACCGCCTGCTAGGCATATTGGAAGAGGCTGCAACCGAGGGGAGGATCGAGCTGCTGGGTATCCACAAGAAGCGGATCCGCAAGTTGAAAGGAAGTGGCCTGCTGGGGTCTTCTATGAAGATGGAGATCGACGAGATGGACTGATGGGTATCTGGTGTGCATTTGCGTTGGAGCGTGGTCGTTGTTCGGCTGGTTTTTGGGAGAACATCATCATCTCACCAGGCTCGGTTTCTTAGGGGTATCGGCGGCACGAGAGTACAATGCCTGACAAGCGGTTTGTAAGGTATCTCAGGGGCTTTTCATCGTGATGTTCTCGTGGGGGAGTTCTGTCTTTGTTCATGAGTGGAAGAGGTTTCTCGTCGGCATGTGTTCGT